CTCCAATGAACCTCCATATGAAATTTGGTGAACATCCATCCACAGGAGGTGAGGTAGTGGTAAAAACATGAAACTCTAAAACACCAAAAAAACATAAAACTGAAAATTTGTATGTACACCTGCATGGACCTATTGAACCTCCATACCAGTTTTGGTGAAGATCCATCCACACCATTCAAAGTAGTTATATGGACAGACAACAGACAGTACTATTATATTTATACAGATTCACCTATTGTTTAACATAGTTTTGGTTCAGTTTTTCCCAATTACAATTAAGTGTAAATGATTCATTAGTATATTTTGTGTACATTTTTGTTATTAAACTGTATGTAAACTATGAAATAGTTAAGATAGATTTCTAAGTTTCTTCCTTGCATCTTTAATGATGCAGTATATTTTTCAAACACAAGTTTTTAAGTTGCCAACAATGATTTTTTTTGCTTTAAGTTATTTTTTTGTGTGTTCAACATATGTATTAAATAAAATTACAGAATATTTGGTAGACACTAATGAAAGAGTCGTCAGACTTGATCAACATTTATATTATTTGATTTATAATTTACTTGTTCCTGTTGATTTCTTATTTCATAATTATCTATTGGTGTAGCAGGATGTGCACCATTATTAACTCTTTCTTCTAGGAATATGTCTTTGTGGATTGCTGAAAAACAAAAACTAAATTTAAAAAATGGCGGATTGGATAAGTTAGACAAGCAGTTGTAATCAAAATGTTTAGAAAATGTATTATGATTAGGTAATATCAGGATGGACTTCACTACTCATAAGGGTGAGTTAGTTTTTTGTATGTGTAATTTTATCAATTATTAGATTTTTTAAACAGGAATATATTTATTTTAAAATAATAGAGCATTTCTTCATTATATTGAAAACAAAAATGTTTGTTAATAGATGGACAGATTGTACATGATGAGTAGCAGAATAAGAAGCTGTGCATCAGTTTTAACACTTTTTTTTTTAATTAAGTGGTATTCTTACTTCCTCTTCAGCCTTTACGAAAACTGCTAAACCACTCAACTGGGACAGACCTGTTTGGCAGCTAGACCCTTCTCACTCAGAAAATAATGGATACCAGAATGAAGATCTGATTGTATGGATGCGTAATGCAGCCTTGCCTACTTTCCGCAAGCTGTACCGCAGGGTTGATCACGAGAAGGAAGGATTCAAGAATCATCTTCCTAAAGGCATATATAACTTGATTGTCCAGTACAGTATCCTCTGTTGTTATATATTTGTTTTCTCTTATCCATAATATCTAAACTAATGTGTTTTTAATATAAGCACTTGCCAGCTTTTAAGACTATAATATTTTTCAATTAAGCAGCGATTCAGGGCTGATTTGTTTTATGAAATAAAAGCATTATTGTTATATAAACTCCCTTTGTATAGTATCACATATAAAGCTTAATGATCATTCAGGTGCCTTGTAACAGTAACAATTAATTATAAATTCATTGAAAATTAAGATGTTTAAGGATAGAATATAAAATGTCAGTCTCAGGTCAACATTTATATTTGTAAAACGTCCAACAGTGAACTGTTCTTTACAACCTTTGCCAGTAATAAAATAAATAGAAAGTAATTAGTGTATGATTAAAAATATAAAACATTTCTATCTAAAAAGTGTCAAATAAACCAAAATTAACATAACTTATAAATATCTATGCTCTTATATGGTATTTTTCTAGTGTTGCTTGCAAATATGTACCAGTATTTTGCAAGTTCTTGATAACTAGTGCACTGTTTACAACAAACAGAACAAAGATATGACTTTTACAGGAAGAACAGAGTGTACTTACAAGTTCTATTTAATCTCTAGAGAACAAAATGTGCATATTTCACTCTTGGGAACATCTTGTTGTAACTTTAAACTTGCGATATTTGACGACAAGCGTTGTCAGGTTTTTATGGATCATTTTTTTTTCTATAATGAATATTTGTACTTGCATTTCTGGTATAGTACGTATAGATCATTAAATGAATCTATAAGAGTAGCTTTAATCAAATGGATCATCATTTTCCCAATCTGAGTAAGGTTTAATTTGTAATTTACTAGCCTTATTAGCTTCACAGAATATCTAACCTCAAGAAATTGACCTTAACATGAATGAAGCTTATCCTGTGACCTCTTTCAAAGGGACCAAACGATTGATATTATCCAACACCACCTGGTTGGGTGGAAAGAACCCATTTTTAGGAATAACCTATATTGTTGTTGGTAGTATTTGCCTTATCCTATCAATTATGTTTCTAGTAATCCACAAAAAATTTGGCAAAAGGTATGTTTTTAAGATATACTGTTTACTTCCATTATTTAATAAATATTTCATAGTCATATCCTTAGAAGAAAACTTCTTATGGATGTAATGAATACTGTGTCATTTGAAATATGTTTTAATTTTGTTACATGTAAAGTGAACTTCATTATTGAAAACAGTTATTTCATATGTTTCACTAAATATAATTTCCAGCATTTGTAGATGTGTAAACTCCTCAAGCGAATTTTGGCAACAGCAAGATGATTTTTTTCACCATGAATTAAAAAGGTCTTACAGAAGTAGTTCAGGAATAATTTGAATTTACTAATAGATTGAAAAACAAGTTAATTTGAAAGATGAAAATCCAAAACATAATTTGGCTGAAGATCTTTAAAAACTACTTGTCAGAGCTTAAAGTGGAAGTAGCTTTTGACTATTCTAGATTGAAAATTTAGCTCATGAATATTTCCTGTGTACTATTTAAGAAAACAACAAGTTTCTCTTACTTCACATTTTGTATGAAAACATAAGTCATTTTTTGTTGAAGATAATAATCAGGCTTTTTATTTTTTTCATAAATTTTAGTTGATTGATTATTGTAAGTGTTTTAAGAACATAGATGTACATGTATATTAATAAGTTTTAAACAGTGATGACTTCAAATATTTCCCTGATAGAAAACTCATTAGAGGAAAAAAAAAACTCAATGCAAGAAACTTGATAACCTGAGCTTTTGTTTTCCTTTGAAAGATAAGCCTTCTGCCTTATCCCTGTTAACGTATGTTGATATTAGTAAATTATTAAATTATAACTGACTTGAAACATTTTTTTTAAGTACAGTTATGAGATTAAGAAAATGGATAATTTGAAAAAACAAGAAACTTTATAACCTGAGCTTTTTTTTTTTTGGTAATGCAAACCTGTTTTCATCCTTGTAAGCATATATTGGTATTAGTAAATTATTACATATTCATTTTTGACTTTAAACATTTCTTTGAGTTCTATCATGAGATTAGAAAAATAGATAATTGAAAAAATAAACTTCATAGCCTGAGCTTTTTTGGAAGGTAAGACTTCCTTCTTCATTCTCTGAAGATAGATCATCCTTTAAAAAAGTGTATGGGTTACAGGGATTCTCGTTTCTTTACTACACTTTTAGCATTCCCAGTGAAATTATTTTTCTAATTTGAGGTTACAAGAATGAATATGAATGTGATTTTTTTTCAGTTTAAATTTTTGATGTTCCACAGCATGAATTTTACATTCATAATCTTTTTCTTTAATCTTTTCCTTGACTAATAAATCCAAAAATTTTCTAACATATAATTTTAAAATTGGAAACTTTCAGTTCAAATCAGTTTACATCTGTAATATCTCAGCTAGTGCATTTCAGAAATTAGAATTATCTCAATATAACTACATCCGAATAATTCAAAAATCCTAATTATTAAAGGTGCTCTGGATAATAAAACAAAAGAATTAAGAGTACCTTAAAAGCAACATGGTTGAAGAAGTTTGGATGCTGCCTTGTTTCACTGAATCAGCTCACTATTGAGAAGTTCTGGTTTAAAGCTTTTGTACTATTGTGGATGGAACAATCTAGTAGATGTAGATCACTTTTGTTCGAACTGTTAACCTAAGGAAATAAAATAAGGCATAAGACAGAGATTTTGATGTATGTTAAGTTTTCTACTAAATTCCAAGAAATACAACTAATATGCAACATCTTAGATTATATTTATATTTATCTGTATTAGATGAGTTTGATATATGATGAGAAAGGAAGATTTTTATGTTTTCTTCAAGCTAAATATAAACAAGATTATAAAAAAATGTAACATAATATTTAAATTTTAAAAAATCTCTTATCTACTTCTATACAGCCCTCATGACGTAATGGGAAACATTACTGAAAGAACTCCTTACTGACATCATACATCTGTTTTAATTCCAAGATCCTGGTTGGATTTAGAAGAACTGATCATTACCTTCACAATCCATTATTTTGAATGTGTAGAGAATTAGCCACTTTTAGATAGATTTTTAAGTCACTTTGCTGAAAAGAAAATTAAAATTGAGGTATTTAGATAATTAACTTTGATAATTGTACAAGTGTATAAAAGAAAGTAACAGATTTAAATATGAAAATGCAAATAACTAGAAGGCTTAGAAACACACGGTTCTCAGGAATAACTTATAAGAATTATAAAAGAATTGTGTCTCTTAAGACTTCCATAGTCATGAGTGTAGTAGCTTTATGGAATTTTTAGTCGAAATACTTTCACAAGCAAGTCTTATGAGTATCTTAAAACTTGGGTGTCAGTATGAAGGGCTAGAGTAAATGTGAAACAAAGCATGTTAATTTATAACTTTTATAAATTTCCAAATTTTCTTTATATGTATCAGTTGATTTATTGTGTTTTTAATTCTTCATGTATTCTATGTTTTGCTAAAGTTTGAAGATGGCTTGAATGGGTAAATGATGAAAACTTTATTAAAAGTTTAATATAGTAACAAATGTACAATGTTTTGTATTTGATAATAACAGATGGTACATTGTACATTTGTTAATATGTTAAACTTGTAGTGAAGTTTTCATTACCCATTCAAGCCATCTTCAACCTTTATTATCTCAAAGTTAGTTCCTTGTTATCAAAGTAAATTTTCTATGACTTGTAAGATAAAGAGATTAGTTAGCAGTGCTGCATTACTTTAGCTGCAGACTGTAATATTTGGCCTTTATAATCCAGAATTACTATAAATATTAGCGATTGATTGAGTAAGAAGGGTGAAACTTCTATTGGAAAGCTTTCATTTGTTTCTTCAGGGAATTTGGAGAAGTTGGTTGAAATTACTTGCTAGTATAATAGTTTTAGCTTTAGACAGAGTATTTTTTCCTACATATTTACTCGTTTATAATTTCCTATCCTTAGAAGAAAAAATGACATCCTAGAGTTGTTGGATTAGTCAGTTTTGTAGTCATGAATAATTTCAGATTGTCAGTAAACTGAATAGGCCACTAAATATGAAATACATGTAATAGATATTCTATGCACACCCACATGAATGTTAATTAATAATTAAATATGCACTAAAACCTTGTATCTTGTCCTGTTTTTAGCAACCTACGTATAGATTTAGAAATAGGAAAAAATTACTTTGTTTAATTGAGACTGTCTTACCCCAGCAAGTTCCATTTGTTATTTTGAATGTAGTAAATGTAAGCTTCATAGTTCCAGTAGTCTCCAGCCCCTCTACATGTAATCTCCAGGTATTTAATTGGCAAAGAAAACTTGGATTGTATTACTTTATTGGTATGGTTAGTGATCTGTAGCCATTAGTAACAAAATTAATTCGGTAAATATACAAATGCTTGTTTGGGTGTAGACTTATTTAAAGAATTTTAAGTTAACATATTGTAATTTAATGTGTAAGTTTTATAGATTCTGTCCTATAAAGGTAGGTTCCTTTAACCCATTAGGCACGTTTAAAATGATGTTGATCACAGCCATAGTAATATCATAATTACATTAGGTCATTTTCTTTGTATTTCTGAAGGTACATTTCAGTTTTACTGCATCATTCAGTTATAAAATAATTATTCAGAATTGTATATATACCAATACATAATGCATTTATTTTCATAAATTATTTGATGCAGTTTTGTCTGTAAGATATGCAAGTTTTTTTTTAAATAAAGCCTAAGGCTATTGTAATCAAAATACTATTCTCTGTGATCTCTGAAGTATTACTTATTCACTGTTTTGTCAGTGTTTGTAATGAGATTTATTTACAGATGGATACTTTTTTTTTCGTTAAAAACTCGCTTTTGAGGATTTTACAAGCCAAAACAAGGAGAACAAAAATCAAATATAAAATTTTTTTTTACTTTTATAAGTACTAATATCTGTTGTTAAATACTTTTTATAATAAAACCCAGTAATGATCAGGAAAGTTATGATGTCAGGATGGATAAAAGGGGAACATTTGATCAGATTTTCATACATGCATCTAAGTACTTCAACTATTGCGGGAAATACAACAGACTTTTTCGGGAACAAAAGTTTTTTTTTTAGCATTGCCTGAGAACCGTGTTTCTAAGCAGTCCACAATTATGTCATGTTGTTGTTCCAAAGTAATTTGTGTGATATTTTATAAATTTCCTGTTTGTTTGATATGACTAAGTTAATGCATGATTGTTATTTGTAAATACGTTCATTGTGAAATTGAATTTAGTTTTTGATATTGAAATAATTTTTTTTTCATACCAAAATATTCAGATGATGCAGGAATTTCTCAACATTAATCAGATTTGTACATGCAGTTTAATTTGAAGGAATCTAACCAACTGCCCCAGACAAACTATTTGTACAAATCTTAGTAATGCAGCCATGTTTCTGAAACAGTGAAACTTGGGTTATGTTTTTGTTTTCTTGTAATTTTGTTATACATTTAAATTTAGTAGTTAAATTGTACTTTAGATTTAGTAGTTAAGTAAAAGCTGATATATAGTCAGTTTATAATATTTGCCAACAAGATTGATACACACAGTTTTCTTTTTTAACACAAATACATTTTAATATACAACAATACAATTTACAATAACGATTATTACAAATAGTTATTACAAACAATGATTTATAAACAAAAGTTTCACAAACTTGCAAACAATATAAAGTCTTCTTTCTAGTTTGGAACTTCCTTGATATCTTATTGAGGGTTTATGATGAGCGAGTTAATTTCGAGTCGACGTAGGCACAATTCACTTAACAGGGAGCTAGCTAGCCCTGTAGTCTTCACTGTTCATAGGCCTATTAGAAATTGAGTTTCCACCGATGACGTTAGGTAATGTTTTCGTAGAAATATTAATGTCTGATGTGAATCCACTGAAGTTAAATGATTTGTAGTGTTTGAACTTTGTATAGGTTCCTGGTCAAATATCTTAAGTTTTCCAATTGATAAGCATTATAACAATCACAGTTATAGCTTCGAATGTTTATAGCACACTGACAATAGCAAACTAATAATAGATATTCTCTTCTTTTGGCGTACCAAGTTGCTTTTATTTGTAGCCATTGGAGGCTTTCTAGAAAATTCAGTTTTACGTAAC